GAAGTAGATGGACCTACCCTGTTGTCAATCGAAACAAAATTTTGCAACGGAATGCCGGTCATGAGGCACTGAGATTGTACTTAGAAACTTCGAAACAAATGCCTAACATGAAACAGAAGTCCCAAGGTGGCTATCAAAATTATTTATTGGACAGCACTCCATTTATTTACTATGATTTTCAATGCGTTTCAATGGGGGAAATAACTGGGTCCCCGTTCCACCTATTAGTTTCAGTCGACATACACGCCATCTTGAATTAATTTCTTATTACATATAGATTCTGATTGGTTGCATTATGATGCGGCTGAGATACAGCAACAGCCATTGGCTTAAATGAGATAAAGAATTACAAACTTTTCACGTCTCAGGATAAGACATCAAATGCCGGAAAATTAACTATGTGTATTTCAGTTCCGATCAACTGTTATTAATTAATTCATGCTTGTTTTTATTATGCATATATTTTACAGATAAATTCAATATTAAAATATCAATTTATTAATACGTGTTTATTTGCTTATTTAATCTGCAATATGCACGATTTGCTTTGCTCAATAATGTTCCTATACAATATTTACAAAAATACATTATCTGTATTTTATAACTTCTGACAATCTAGGCACACTCTTAAAGTAAATCCATTTTATATCAATCAATATCTAAAAATACCACATTTCCAATATTAAATCAACAACCACATGCACACATATTACCTTAAATTAGGATAGAGCGAGGCAGTCCATAGCTTTTTAGAAAGCTCAAACTTGTGTTATGTTATCTTTGCTGTGACACACTGTTATAGTAGTCTCAGTTTAAAATCATTCTTATTGAAGACGTGATATATTTGCCTGAATTTATACTTGTTTATTTACACAATGCCTTCAAATACATATAAAGTTTATTTTTATTCAATTTGCCACAAAACGTTTTTAGTTTAGTTTGAATGAAAATAAAGAACAGAGAATAAAACACTGTTGAAGAGAAAATACATATCCGTGTTAAATTCGCCTCAGTTTGTTAATTCAATTTTGACATCTAACTTCTTAATCCGCAATCCACATTTACCCGACAACCTTTCTTGATGGAATACCCTCATGTACATGCATGTGACCATCAGAAACTGAGACAAATATGATATCTGTAAAATTCTGAAAAATGTCGTAAAAATATCGTAGAAAAATATCAAAATCACGTTTTATGGCGCTAAAAATATTTTCCAAACATTTTCCATAACAGGTCCAGGATATTTTTAAAACATCATTGAAACGTTACTGAATTTTGTCAACAATGTTTGTAAAAAGTTTAATAATAATAATACATTTAGGAATATGTTCAAAGGCTTTTGATGTGTTCTGATTTGACATACATTTCAGCCGACTATAAAGACTAACAAAAATATTCCTTTACAATATATTTGACAGGTCTCTGCAGATTAAAGGAAATGATGCTTTACACCTCTTTATAAAGTTCTCCTTTTGAATTGGTTTACATACCAGGCAAATGTAGATGTACCTTACACTTTATAACCCCTATAAAATTATTTGATTAATGATGCTTTGCTACCTAGACAAAGAAACACATTTGCGGATAAATTTACATCATAGAAAAATACATGACAAAGATTTCCATTTGCAGAGGTATACAAAAGCATAAGTTTGCAAAAGTTTTGAGATGGTCATAAATATATGCAAATTCTAAACTTTAAAATGGTTTGATTAGGTGTTAATATATTTTATAAACCGCGGTCTCTCATAACCGCCCATAGGAGAGTATAGCACAAGAAATGTTGATATTTACTACATGTAAAGACAAGATAAACTAAATGTAGCGGTTTGTAAATATATTTAAATGTCGGTCTCTGAATACATTTACATTACATTTGCATACCTCTTCAAATCCGGGATTCCGTGTAGTGGTTTGAAGGGTTGTATAATTCCGACAAATTGTGTGTCAAGGAAAATACAATTCAATTCAAATAAATCAAGGGTAAAATGTTTGGATTTACTTACAGTATATATTTGTATTGGGGTTGAATCAAGATAAGGAAAATTTATAATGACAGATGATATGCACCATGAAATTTTAGCAGCATGTGATTAAAATTGTGTACATCTAAAATTTTGTATTAATTTATTTATTCAATCTCATTAAAACAGAACATCGGATTTTAATGAGATTGTTTATTTATTGAAAACCGTATACTTCCGTCCCATTTTTCCTTCCTACATTACTTACGACAATACAGCATTTTAAGGTGAATTAAGGGTAAATTAATTGTTAAATCGATGTCTACCACTTTAGGTTATTCATGGTAAAAATACATCACAAAAAAACAGAGACAGAATCATCCAGCAATATATTATATAAAAACCGAATTAATCGATGTCAAAATTTCAGAAAACACTCTTTGGCGTCCCATTTTTGGTGTAACGTCGTGTTGTAGGAACATCGTACGCAACCTTATGGCTTTTTTTTAAACTCCCTGTTAGATAAAGCTAAAAAAAACAATAAATCTGTAGCTTGCCTAAATTATATCGTAAATAACTGCTAATAAAAATGTGCTCAATTCTTTTAATTCTCAAACACATAATTTGGCACTTTTAATTTATATGTTTTTCTCGTAAGCGACATTTCGTAACTAAGGAGCCGCCATGTTGACTTGCTGAAATCAGTAAATATGCGAATAATGCAAAAGAATAGAAAATAAAACAACACCTACCTCAAAAATGCATTTTAATGTAATATTACACGAATTTCGATGGTTCAAGTAACGGAAAAACCTTCAGCTTTAGCATTTTCATTTGTATGTTTTGAAATGACTTCAATGCGCCAAAAGCATAAATGGACTTTCGCGGAATTTTAATTTATTTTAATTTTGTATATCTTCAAGCTTTGGTGCATTAATTCTTTTTGTCATACATCCGAAAAAGAATAAAAGTTCTGTAGTCATTTTTTTAATTGCAATTTTCAAAACAATAAAATCGGCATAGCGTTTGCAAATAGGTTCCGTTGTTGGCATAATACGGGTTATGTTCTTCTCATATATTTTATGATGGTATGATACTAAATCCCTAATGGGAGGGATTGTACTTGATTTTCATATGATGAAGTTATAATCTTTCAATCAGTTTGATTGAGGTCTGGAGCTGGCATGTCAGTAACTGCTAGTAGTCCTTTGTTCATTTATGTATCATTGTCATTTTGCTTAGTTTCTTTTGTTACCTATTCTGACATCGGACTCGGACTTCTTTTAAACTGAGTTTTACTGTGCGTATAACTATGTGGTTTTTTTTTCTACATTGACTAGAGGTATAGGGGGAGGGTTGAGATCTCACAAAACATGTTTATCCCCGCCGCATTTATGCGCCTGTCCCAAGTCAGGAGCCTCTGGCCTTTGGTAGTCTTGTATGTTTTTTTAATTCTAGTTCATTTATATGTTTTGGAGTTAAGTGTGACGCCCATTTTCACTGAACCAGCACACAATTTTATTTAGGGGTTAGGTTAGGTATAGATATATCGAGAATTTTATCACGGTGTTATTTACAAAGCGAAAGAAGCACGTCATATTAGAATGGTGCATTGACAAAAAAGGCCCGCCATTATGAATCTGGCTTGGTTAAGGGGAAACAACTCCTGTAATTATTTTTGGTGCATTTTTCCGGGAAATTCACCTGAACGTTCGAAGACATATTTTGTGTGGGTTTGTTTTTGTTTTTTTTTTTGCTAAAAATGTACTGATATTTTGTCATGGATGGACACCCCGTATCCTTTGTATTTCTATAATACTTTTACACAAGGACAAAATTCCAAAGCTTGTCATGATCGCTCTGTGCTTCAGGCTTACAAGTGTAGAATGCGATAGATGGTTTTAGTACACAAAATCCCGTCTGAATTTCAGCTATAGTGTATATTTGAAAGAAATACAACCGAACATTAAGATGAAAATAAGTATATTTGTTCCAGATAAGAAACCGCACAACCCGTATCAATCTACATGTATTCGTTTCAGGACGAAAATTAGAAGAACAAGAATTATGAGAATAATTCATGGCCCCTACCAGTTAAAAATTCATTGTATTGGAATAAAATTCTAACTTGATCTATAACTTGTCATGGTGTGAACTATATATTACAAATATCAAGTCAATATCTTCAAGCATGACGAAAAAAGGTGTTGAAAACTGAATATCTAAGTCCAATGACTATAACCCTGCACAAAATCATCAGACCGGAACAAAATTCCAACTTGATCTGTAACTTGTCATTATAAAACCATATAACAATTATCTTCCGGAATGACAACAAAAAGTGCCGAAAGCTGAGTGAATTTTCTAATTCAAAGGACCATAACTCTGCACAAAAACATCAGCACCGGAAAAAAAATCGAACTTTATCTGTAACTTGTTATGATAACCTAATACACCAAATATCAAATCAATATCTTCTCAAGCATGAAGAAAAAAAGTGTGATAAACTGATTTACCGGACTGAAGGATGGACATGCAGACAGACAGATGGAATGCAAACCTAAAGCCCCCTTATTGACAGAGTCGTAACTAATAAATTTAATTTGTAAATATTTTGTATTGATGAAAGAATCATAACAGATATATATTTATATAGTAGAACCAAAAGTTGTACTGACTAACAGATGGTTTTAATGATAGATAGTTTATTTCTCATAAAAATGTAAAACCATGCAGTACAAAGGTTTCAGAAAAGATAAACACATGCATACAAAATACTGACTAACAGACCACACTTGGTATATACGTTGTTGCTCAGTCTTTAGTTTTTGTCTTCTGCATGTTTGTCTCCTGTTGTTTGTCTGGTTTTTCTTTATCCATGGCGTTGTCAGTTTATATTCGACCTATAAGTTTGAAAGTCCCTGTAGTATCTTTCGCCTCTCTTTTAAGAATTTGACACTGACCGATCAATGAATTTGACTCCACTTTTTATGTACCATTTTGATAAAAGAGCTTTTCACGTTTCAATGGTTTTAATGATAGATAGTTTATTTCTCATAAAACATATAGACCATGCAATACAAAGGTTTCGGAGAAGATAAACACATGCATACAAAATATAAAAACATAAATAAAAATAGTTAAATAAATACGTACATGTATTAATATGACTAGTACCACAAAATTCTTCAAACAATTTATCAAAGAAAACAACCCATCCAAAATGTTATTTATCACAATGTCTTTTAAAAATCTATAAAACGTATCTGTAATTATCTTCAAAATGTTTAATAATGAACAGTCTATTTCTAAATATATTCATATACTTTACAGTCCTACATATATAGCTTATAATCATTTCCACTAAGAAAACTCCTATATTATAATAGTGATAACGCATAACTATGGCATTGCTAACAGTGAGAGCCGTGGTGTAGTGGTTAGCGCATCGGACTTCTAACACAGAGGTTTCTGGTTCGATTACGGGGAGAACATTTCAGGGACTAAATTTTCGGCTCTTCCGTGACACCATTTGCGAGCATGGTCTTGATTAACGATGATAGTCCGTCGGAAGGGGACGATAAATGGCTGACCCGTGTGTTAAGAGAGCCATATCTCTTGCACGTAAAATACATCTTTGTAGATTTCGAAAAAGAGCAGGCTAATGCCGCTACAAGGCAGCACTCGCACCCGCAAAGTGGAAAAGGATTGATATATGTTGTAATAACTTGTTTCCAAATTCACTATGAATATGTTTAAATTAGTCCCACTGACGCTCAGAGCTAAATGAGTATTCCCTTATTTGTTAGCAATATTTTTCAAACGTATATCAAAAACGTAAGGCAATACAAATAGTTAATTTGTTTAGAGTTTCATCCTTTAAAAAATTAAACATTGCATTGTATAAAGCATTGATTGTAGTTGATTCAACTATAATCATGGATAAAGGAAGATAACTCTAATTTTAAAAATAAATTGATATTTAGAAGAAAATAAAAATTTTGCTATTTTTCAATTCATAAAGGGGCATAACTCTAGAACAATAAAAGTGATGCCACCAAAATTCAAACTTGATCTGTGTTTTACTAAAAATTTGCATTTTTTCCTTTTATAAAGGGCATAACTCGAGAATGGTTAAAGTGACTCCACCAAAGTTCAAACTTGATCTTTATTTTGTGGTAATAAGCATTGTGTATATGTTTCATAAAATTTGGTTGAGTCAAACTTAAGTTAGAGAACGGAAACTAAAAATTTTGCAATTTTTCCATTTATGAAGGGCCATTACTCAAAAACGCTTAAAGTGACGCTACCAAAATTCAAACTTGATCTGTATTTGGTGGTAATAAGCATTGTGTATAAGTTTCATAACATTTGGTTGAAGCAAACTTAAGTAAGAGAACGGAAAATAAAATTTTTGTAATTTTTCCATTTATATAAAGGAGCATAACTCTCGAACGGTTAAAGTGACGCTACCAAAATTCAAACTTGATCTGTATTTGGTGGTGATTAGCATTGTGTATAAGTTTCATAACATTTGGTTGAGGCAAACTTAAGTTAGAGAACGGAAACTAAAAATTTTGCAGTTTTTCCATTTATAAAGGGGCATAACTCTAGAACGGTTAGAGTGAAGCCACCAAAATTCAAGCTTGATCTGTGTTTTGTTGTAATTAGCATTGTGAATATGTTTCATAACATTTGGTTGAGGTAAACTCAAGTTAGAGAACGGAAACCAATTTTGGGACGTACGGACGTACGTACGTACAGACGGACAAGGGTAAAACTTATTGCCCCCTCCGCTACGGCGGAGGCATAAAAATAGGTGGAGTGTCAGCTATAGGAATTCCTTATTTCGCTTACTTTGATTTAAGTAATTTGGCCTTTTCTGCATTATGTTTTGTCACATGTGTAGTATAAGAAATTGAAAGGCTAAATGTTAGACCACATATCTCGCACAAATATGGTCTCTCACCAGAATGTGTTCTCATGTGCACTTTTAAGTTTGATATCCGAATAAAATCTTTATCACACATATCACATTTATAGGGTCTTCCACCACGTTCATCATGTCTAAAATGCCTTTGTTTGTGTCTTTGCACGTCTTTTTTACAAGTAAAACCTCTACCACAAATATCACATGCAAACGGTTTATCGCCAGTATGTATTCTCATGTGAGTTGGTAAGTATTCCTTCCTACTGAAAGCCTGATCACACACCCCACATTGATAAGGTTTATCACCAGAATGTGTTCTCATGTGTCTGTTTAACTCTGAACTTTGACTAAATTCCTTTTCACATACATCACATTTACAAACTTTACTCGGTTTTTCACCCGTATGTGCTCTCCTGTGTCTCCGCATGTGATGGGACTGACTAAATGTCTTATCACATATATCACATGTGAATGGTTCAGCACCAGTATGTGTATTCATATGTCTCCGTAAGTGATGATGCCGACTATACTTATTATCACATATATCACATTGATATGGTTTAGCACCAGTATGTGTCCTCATGTGCATATCTAGGTGTTCCTTCCTACCGAAATCTACGTTACACACTCCACATTTGTAAGGTTTGTAGCCTTTCTGTTTTATAATACGAGTCTTTAAGACCCGAGTCTGACGACATTCTTTATTACATGACTTACACGCCTTTCCTTGGCACTGTTTACCACATGTTCTAGTTTTGCACTCATTACCACAAACATTACCATGACATTCTTTACCACAAACATTACCATGACATTCTTTACCACAATCATTACCCTGGTACTCTTTATCACATTCACTACCAACATCAACCTTCTCTTTAGTCTGATATGCCTCGTCCATCAGTTGGTCTGAACTGGTCTGATCAAGAGGAATGAATGTTATTTTATCTTTCTTTTCAGTATCAGAAACCATATTTGTTTCTGTCTTGTCCTGTCCACCCTGGAACATCTCTAGATTGTCTGAAGGTTGTTCAGGGGAGATTTCAGTAACAGAAACCATATGTGTTTCTGTCTTGTCCTGTCCGTCGTGTAACATCTCTAAAATGTCTGTAGGTTGGTCAGGGGAGATAACTGTTAAAATCTCTTTATTTTCCGTATCTGAAAATCCATCTGTTCCTGTCCTCTCCTGTCCACCATGACCATTGTGTAACATGTGATGAGACTGGCTAAATGCCTTATTACTTATATCACATGTGAATGGTTCAGCACCAGTATGTGTATTCATATGTCTCCGTAAGTGATGATGCCGGCTATACTTATTATCACATATATCACATTGATATGGATTAACACCAGTATGTGTCCTCATGTGCATTTCTAGGTGTTCCTTCCTACCGAAATCTACTTTACACACTCCACATTTGTAAGGTTTGTAGCCTTTTTGTTTTATAATACGAGTCTTTAAGACCCGAGTCTGACGACATTCTTTATTACATGACTTACACGCCTTTCCTTGGCACTGTTTACCACATATTCTTGTTTTGCACTCATTACCACAAACATTACTATGACATTCTTTACCAGAAACATGACCATGACATTCTTTACCACAATCATTACCCTGGTACTCTTTATCACATCCATTACCAACATCAACCTTCTCTTTAGTCTGATATGCCTCGTCCATCAGTTGGTCTGAACTGGTCTGATCAAGAGGAATGAATGTTAGTTTATCTTTCTTTTCAGTATCAGAAACCATATTTGTTTCTGTCTTGTCCTGTCCGCCCTGGAACATCTCTTGATTGTCTGAAGGTTGTTCAGGGGAGATTTCAGTAACAGAAACCATATGTGTTTCTGTCTTGTCCTGTCCGCCGTGTAACATCTCTAAATTGTCTGTAAGTTGTTCAGGATCTGTCTTGTCCTGTCCGCAGTAAGAAATCTCTGAAATGTCTGTAGGTTGGTCAGGGGAGATAACTGTTAAAATCTCTTTATTTTCCGTATAACATCTCTAAATTGTCTAGTCTGATTAGAATAACAGAGATTGTAGTAATGCCTGCTATATTTCTATGATCATGATGATTAAACCTTTTATTAATGCTATGCTGTTTATAATGCACCTTCTTGTCCACTCTTTAAAACGTAATTCGGCCAGATGATCTAAAAATGATAAAATTTAACTATTACTCAGTGAATATAGTAACATTGAGCTACATATTAATAAGAATTAATGTTTTATCAACAATGTGAACTCTTATAATTATATAAGGGAGAAGGGGGTTATGTTTTTATCCTAAAATGTATCCTGAACCCTAAATTTAGAAAATAACAAGAGCCTGTAAGAGTCACAGCATACCGGAATTTCCAGCAGAGGTAGAACCCTGAACAATTGAGCTAGTATAGACACACCATTTAAGCTTAAAACAGCTCTGAATTTGGTGTGCGGTGGACTGGTGGTTGAATATTTGACACAGCATAGGTTTGTGACACAACATGAATGTGGTTAAAGAACTGACAAAATTGCAATTGGACATTTATCTATTATGGTCCAATATCCAAAATCTAAGTCTACTGTTAGAATTAGTATACAAGAGAATACCTTCAATAGCCAGGAGTTATACTTTTATATGAATTTGAGTAATTTCCCTTTGAACGGAAATAGTGAAAATAAGTTTTGTTATATTCATTTGAGTTATTTCACTTTGAACACTTACAGTAATGATGGAGAAATTAATAAGTATTTCATAACAGTTGATTTCTTTGATGCGAAATTTGAAAAATTGAATTTGACATTCATTTATTCAAAGAAAACAACATATCTCAATTTGAAAAAAAATGTCAAAGCGTTTTCATGTTAATCAAAGGGCTGTTTGTCAGCCACTCGCCCACCTAACCGCCAGCCTTACATCCCCAATTCAATAACCAATTTTCTTTTGAAAATCCGGTTAACCATATTGAGGTCATTCAGAATCCAGATTTGTCCCATACCCGGCTTAGGCCAGGGTTTTTTTTTAATTTGTTGGTTTACGGATCCGCTGACACTAGTTTTGCCGATTTGCAGAATAAAAATAAAATTGATATTTTATGCTTTTTTATTCCTGCCGACCCTAACAAAAACATTATCCCTGAAATATAAATAAAAATAATTTTTTTTAAGGAATGAAATGCATTAAACACTAACAGAATTGATAACACGTTGTGTTGTGAAAAAAAAAAAAAATCAAAAATAATCCGTATATCTACGTATCTAAAAATAGATAAATCGGTCATAACTGACCTTGAAATGTTGTTTGCGCAAATAATTTTGTGGAGCGAAAGCTGTGTTTAAAACCCTTTACAATAAGTCCGTTTCTCTTTTTTGTCATAATTCCGCAAGATGTATCATCTTGACTGTCCCTCTGGTATCTTTCGCCCCTCTTTTTATAGATGAAATCGACTCTGTTCAAACGTGGATTCGTCAAGATAAAGTTAATAGATATCACAAACAATTTGGAATTTTCTTGTTTCATAGATGATAAAAAAATTCGTCCATTTGGATATCAAAAACGGGAATGCATGACAACTGATGAATCCGATATACTCGTCTTTCCAGTGGACAAGTCTATTACGTTTTTGACACAAATGGTAACCTTGGTACGTAAAGCTTATAATATTTCGTACAGCATGTTTTCAATTTTTTACTTATTATTTTTCTTGCTTGAAGATCAGTATTCACCAAGTTTCCTGAAATTGATAGAAAGCTAACATGGCTATGCGGATCTGGTTTTTTTTTCTAGTTCGTGAAATGACTATTTAATTTCGTCTTTGTCCCTGGACATAAGCCCCCTTTTTGGAAACTGTATGACGATAGCATGCATTTTATGATTAAAACAGTTGAGCAATAATATTACATGGAACTAGGATTTAAGAAATGATGACAATAAAAAAAAAAATAGCATACCAAACATATTGTTAGGAAGGTGAAACCTACGATAGCAGAGGGGCATTATGTTTTCTGGTCTGTGGGTCCGTTCGTCCGTTCGTTCGTCCGTCCGTCTGTCCCGCTTCAGGTTTAAGTTTTTGGTCAAGGTAGTTTTTGATGAAGTTAAAGTCCAACAAACTTGAAACTTAGTACACATGTTCCTTATGATATGATCTTTCTAATTTAATTGCCAAATTAGATTTTAGGCTCGAATTTCATGGTCCACTGATCATAGAAAATAATATAGTGAGAATGGGGCATCCGTGTACTGTGGACACATTCTTGTTTTTACATATTTTTCGGTCTTTTTTATTCGACCGACCAAATCCTTCGACCAACCGACCCGACTTTTAGAGTGAAAAATCCGTAATTCAACAAATCAAAAAAACCCTGGCCTTATAGTGTTTAATTTTGAAAAATATAATTTGATTGATAGTGTAAAAAACTACAAAAAAATGTTTGCGCTTTGCCGAAAAAAAAATGTCTTAAACTCAGACAAAAACCCATACCCCCACCCCCTTTTGAAATTGAATGGTTGCTCCAATATAAAATTACTAGAAAAAACAGATACAATGGAAACATGCAAGAAAAACAATATATTACATGACGAACATCCACAGGCACTGAAAAAATCATACCTTTAATTAATACAATCATGACAATACATCTGTTTAACATGTTTAAGTATACAGGTATTTTTTTTCAGAGACCCCTTTAAATACCTGTGCGAACATTATATGCATTTTGATTTTGTTTATTTCAAATATGCATTGTACATAGAGTTTACAGTAATGTTATTAATGTTAAAAATACTTTCCATACATTTAACATTCTAACAAAGAAATAGGAACTATTGAGAATTTGATTAAAAATACACAATATTATTATAATTCGAGGTTCAGCGAATATAGAAATTGATATATCAAAATGCAACAAATATAAAAACTTACCTTTTGTTAGACTAGTTAAGATAAACGCTCTTAATTTCGATGTCATGCAGATCAAAACAAAGTTCACAGGGAGGTAATTCTAAAGATAATATACCTATGGAACGCACGACTGCAAACATTGAAATGCATAATAGTGAATTTTGTGGAACCTTTTTAAAAAGTTCTTTATCCGTAGGTCAATGTACCTATAATTTATTGGAATTAAAAAGAACCCTTTAAATACACACATATATATATATAATTATATATAAAACAACAAATAAGGGAGCAACCATTTAACTTCGAGGGGGGGTCAATTTATGTTTTTTTTGTCGGAGTCGGATCATCAAATTGAGTGGGCTGATTTAAGATTGAACAGGAAAAGATAACAAAAGAACCGAAACAATTTATGCCAAAAGCCATACAGCAAGTGTCCTCTTCATAGCAAATAAAATATTGGATGGTTATGATAGCTATGTCAGGAAAAAAATCCAAGTCCAATACCTATGTATTTTCTTTAAATAATCAATATCTGGTGACCTTCACCTGTCTAAAAACAATTTCATTGGTTGGCTAATCTAAATCAAGTATTAAACTTTTCAAAATCTTATAATTTTTCCATTTTGGACATTTTGGACATTTTCCATCAAAAGTGTTTTATCAAAGAGAGATAACTCAAGTTTATTTTTGTTGCTCACATGTAATGAAATGGCACTTTTATTCCATAGTCTGTTTCTTGAAATTAGTTTCTGAAAATAAATGAATATATAAAATCAACTATGAATGGTAGGTTACAATTATAGTTAATAGTTTTGTATATTATAAATTAAAAAAAAAATCAAAATCTTTTATTATTTCACAATTACAAGAACTGATTTTTTTTTATCTAATTTGGTTAGATTAAATAGGTTCAACCCTAATTCTGTGCAATTTTGTTATTCATTGTACTTAAAATTTTTAATTTAGAAGTAAGTTTTGATTTGATTTGATTTTTGGTGTTGTAACGCCGCTTTTAAGCACCGCTTTTGTGCTATTTCGTGGCGACCAGTTTTTATTGGTGGAGGAAGCCGGAGTGCACGGAGAAAACCACCGACCTTCGATAGGAAAACCGACAATCCTAGTCAATTAAGATTGGAGCCGAGTGCACCCGCACGAGCGGGGTTCGAACTCACAACCTCAGTGTTGACTGGCTAGTGATTACAGTAGTAACTACTTAAAACACTCGGACACCGAGGCCCCGAAGTAAGTTTTGATAAAACTAGTTAACTTTAAGGAAAATATGTGAAAAAATCATTATTTACTGAATAGCATAGAGAGTGAACTCTTTTTTTTTTAAATTAATCTATCTCATAAAAACATATTGACCTACATTATTTTTAGATCACCACTCTTCAAATCATCTTCAAATTCTTCAGTGTAAGGTCGTATTTTAGTAGTCTTTTATGGAATTTGTGTCTTTTTTTTTGCTGTTCCAATATGCAACCTGTAATGAAGAAAAAGCTAAAATGACAAACACGGTTTTCCACTCTATTTGTTTATATAACAAAAGAACCAATAATGCAAATTGTCACTTATGCGTAAAATATTTCTATATCTTAAAGACCTGTTTGTACCTGTAGATATATAACAATTAATTTCAGCATTTTAGTATACATTGTACATTATTGTTTAGGGCCAACTGAAGCCAGCCTCTGGGTGCATGATTTTCTCAATGCGTTGAAAATCCATTGGTGGCCTTTTGCTGTTTTCTGATCTTTGTTGTCTCTATGACAAATTCCTTGTGTCCATTTTCAATTCTTTTTTAAATATTGAATTTTTGGTTTTTGCTTGAAACATAATTCAAAATCTTTTAAAATATTACTAGTAGTTCCAAGTGGAACCTGTGAACCAGCATAACAATTAAAATAAAGAACATTCAATCAGCAACTTCTGTTTGGTCTTTGGTGGAGAGTTGACTCATTGGTAATCATGCACAACTCTCATTTCTATACGTATGAGCTACTTTTCAGGGTGTTCCTTCAGTTTAACATTAAAGTTACAATTTTTTCACTGCTAATTAACGTTTATCTTATTAAGATATACAACTTAGGCTTTGAAAATAGAAATATTCTCTTGCTATTATTATAACTAGTGAAGCTTCAATTCAAAATTATGTGTTTATCTAATAGAAGTAAGGAAAATAATTATTCATTATGGTAATAAAATGTGTTAAACAATGACTGCAGTATATATAAATCATAACCAAACAAATCTGGTTTTA